GCCATCTTTTCACTTGAGCAATTGGTAAAATATATATTAATCAAAATGTTCTTCATCATTTTCTGAAGCTTTCTCCCATCCATTTTTGCACTTCTTCAATATTTGTTGGTGTCGGTGGCAACCAGAAGGCGCTATATCTGTTGAGTACTCTGGATGACGCAAAACTTCCTATTCGAGATGCAACAGCCTATCCCTGATAACTCTTGCACCGTGTGGGCGAGCGTTGTCATACAAGAGATTGACTTTGCGCTATTCCAGGTCTGTTTTGCAGCAATACATCGTCCAGTTTATTGTTCAATTGGCGTCGGTACATGTCTGGAGGTAACGGTTTCAATCGGTTTCAGCATCTCATAACACAATAAACCTTGTTGATCCTACCTTAATCCAACTTGATCCTTTTAAATTTCCATTACAATAAAAAAGCAAACTTCCATTTAACAAAATGAAATACCGAAAGCTGCCTTTAATTGTTCAGTTACAGCTTTCATTATTTTACTTTACTATATTGACTGCTGAAGAACTCTATTATACTAAATGGAAAAATGTTGTTTCATGTAGAGAAGGGTCGAATTCATAAAATTTAAGCACATTCATACATTCATAGATTCATACTCCAAACTGCTTTATCGTTTTCACGAATATATGTCGCTGACCAAAATACAAGCAAGCACCTATTATTATGAATATGAAAATGCAAAAGTTGTCTATGATCAAATTTAATTTGCTAAAATTTTCTTATAAACTTTTTTTCAAAAAGCAGTTAATTTTGCAAATTTTGGTTTCTTTCGAATGTATTATGTGAGAAGAAAACATACCTAAGCAAGCAATAAATTTAACATTTTGCTGATTGTTCTCGTTTATTATCATTAATCTTCATATGGTTTGCAAGTGCTTTTCTAGTAGCAATGCTGGCAAATTGTTAATAAACAGCGTAATATTATTTAAACAATGATTAATTCTTATTTTGTTCTATTCTGTCGTCAATTGAAATTAATTTAGAAAGGCTAGTAATTCACGTAGGCGGTGTCATCGTTTGCGAACCTTGACTGGGCTGAACTAAAAATTAATTTCACATCTACATGCTCATATTTTATAACATTATAATATATTTTTTATTATTATTGTTTTGGAGTTTTTTCAAAATCCTTAGACTCCTTTAAGGAAGGATTGCAATTATTAATTAAATTGTATAGGTGAGGATTATCCAACATAGTGGTATGGTTGCCTTCAATCTTTTCAACTATTACAGCGCCTTTAGTGATTTCATGTAGATTATAATCCTCATCAATATCTTGAAGCGCAATTTCGGTGGGTCGAACGAGAGTAATCGGTGTGTTTAGTGACTTAAAGTTTTTGAGATTATAACTGATAACTGAGCATATGCGTCTAAACATAGCATGTATCATGCCTATCAAATAATCGCAGCTATATAGACTTTGTTTTTCTATATGTTCACCGAATTTTTCCATTTTCTGCTCAATAGTTGGAAGGAGATTGAATTTTTGACCGATCACTTCTTTTACGTCTTCAGGGAATATCATCTGCACGAAAGCGCACAGCAACAAGTTGTAAATATCGTTATCGGTGGAATGCTCACCGAGAAGCAACCGGATGTGCTTGACCAAGAAGTGAGGGGCTCCATCAATTAATAATAATTGACCGTGAAAGCCAGCCTTCTCTAACATCGAAACCAATTCCAGGGCAATGAAGCTACCATAAGAATACGCAACGATATAAAACTGGCGATTGCCTTTTAAAACTGCTTTTACATCCTATGTAATAACAGCAAGATAATCAAGGCGTGAATTAGTAAACATTTAACAAATGCGAATGAGGTAGAATTTAACTTACTTCGAGGCATGCCTTAGCTATTTCTTTTACTGAAGTCAATTCAGCAAAACGATGAAACTGCAACATGTTCACGTTGCTATTGATATTCTTGGCTATTTTATACCACACTTGACCTGCGGTTCCTTCTATTCCGGGTATAATAATAGTTGGTGACGTCACATGTTGTAACGCGTCTCGAGCAGAATGCAATTCAATTATCACCTCATTGCACCGACTTTCATCACCCAAGTTGCGCAATAATAATTCGATACCTTGTACAGGGCCCTCTGAGTCGAATATAACCTTGTCGGTTCCATTTCTCCTAAATTCCCTTGCTTCATCATACTCTAGCAATTTCTGGAATGTCAGTTCACGCAACTCGTGTGGTGTCAAAGACAACTCAAAATTGCGTTCCAAAGTTTGCTGTATTTCTACAGCCATCAATGAATCCATGCCCATTTCTGAGAGTGTCGTGCCTAAGGAAAGAGATTTAAGGTCTCGTGCTCCTAAAATGTTCATAATGGTTTCGATAATATTTTCACTTCCAGAAGTACCCAATTGCTTCTCTGCGACCACCATGCTTGCCACAATGGCGTCTGGGGCACTAAGCAACGTATCCAATTCTTGAAGACAGGACGAAATACGCTGTTGTAAGGTGCCGCCGATATCTAAATCTATTTTATCTTCGACCATATTAGCTATCAAACCCACTTCACCTACTGCTCCCCACTGTATAGCTTTAGCAGGAAAGCCGCTCTGAACCCGATCTTCAATGATCCTTTCCATTACTGAGTTTGCCATTCCATAATTGGTCTGTCCTGCGTTGCCCCTACCACACGAAAAACTTGAGAAGACTACAAAATGCTCCAATCTGGGACACATAACACGGGATAATTCGTCTAAGTATTTTGTTGCTATCGCTTTCGGTTCAAAACTTTTCACAAACTTTTCTTTCGTCTGGTTAAGGAATATGGCATCTTGCAATGTAACGGCCAAGTTGAAAATTCCACCGATTGGAGCTATATTATTTGCTTCCTTAAGCAGGTTGCGACATCCTTCATAGGTACAAATGTTACTTGTGCTTATGAAGACTTCGCAACCGTATGTCTTCCATAACCTACAAATAAACGAATGATACATAATTCATGCTTAGCAACGATTTGTAATATGCAGTTATGTCTTACGCTATTCTGTAGCGCTGATAATCATTCATAAGCCCTCTACTGGAGCTAAGAATAAGTTTTCTTGCGCCTCTTAAAGCCATCCAGTCAGCTAACTCCAATCCGAAACCGCCTAAGCCGCCAGGAATAACAAAACTCAAATTTGGATCGAAGTACACTTGCTTCACCACTTTTACTGGCATGGTGAACTCAGCTTCTGGATCCTCCCGCACTTGAATAACTACCTTGCCCATATGTTTTCCTCCTACCATATGTCGAAACGCCTGCTCAATTTCGTGAGCTTGGAAAACCGTCGCAGGTAAGGGTTGTATAATCCCATTGGCAATATCATTATCAATGAGTGCTTTTAGGTGCTGCCAATTGAGCAAATTCTTTCAGTTATGAATATTTTATAAATTTGAAGCGCTCAACATACCGCAATTTCTTCCTCAGGAGCGGTTAACAATCTATCGGCTAAAACTGCATTAAACTTGATTTCTTTAAGGAAACAACTCATCCCAAGTTTGGTGTCGTTTGCCATGTCAAATTTTCCAATCTCAAGGAAATTTCCTCTGAATCCCAAGCAGCGTACGGAAGCCAACAATTTATCTTCTGAGAGCGAATTCAAAACAAAATCGACGCCTTTGCCTTCAGTTTCTCGTATAATCATACGTTCAAATGAAGTATCTCGGGAATTCCCAATGTGACTCTCTGTTTCGAAAAAACGAATAAACGCTTATTTGTGCTTAAAACGCAAAATATCCCCTTTATACCTTTAAGTTGCGGAAAAGTGTCCAGCAGAAACTGCTTCTTTTGAGAAGTGCTGCAGGTAGTAAAAACCTCCAGATTATAAGCTAACGCAACTCGTATGGCTGCAAGACCTATACCCCCTGTGCCAGCGTGGATTAAAATACTTTTTCCCTTACGTATATCAGAAACTATGAAAAACGCATAGTATACGGTTATATAAACTACGGGAACAGTGGCAGCATCTTTCAAAGACCAATTGTTTGGTACGTCCCAAATAAGTCCGGATGCGTTTTCGACATACGATCCCACTCCTCCCTTTGCCACCATACTCATTACTCGACGACCGGTCTTGGTATGTATACCGGAATACTCCAAGCCCAAGACGCAATTTTGATCTAAACGACTGTCGCCAAACAGTTCTACGGCTAGGCGCCCAGTAGCAAGCATTATGTCACGAAAATTTAAAGATGAATAAGCAATTTTTATATCGCAAGTCTTAGGGTTAAATGGACCCTCGATCCAACGCAATGATGAAAGATCTCCTCTTTGCAAAACATTACCATAAACGTGATCCTTTCTTGGCGCAATTTTGTCCTCTAACCTGAGCAGAAGGTGTCGATAGGAACCCCATTTGCCCTGAATAATTAAAAATAATTAAATAGTTTTCGAAGATGTTAACAATACTTTTCCTCAATATGTGTTAATTACGTTTTGATAAACATTGACGGCTAGTCCGAGGGCATATTGCTTGGCATAGAAGGGTTCATTAATGTTGAATGCTGGCGCACTTTTATCATTTATAAAAAAACAAGTAATCAAGTGACCATCTGCCTCCTTACGTAGACAATTTACTAAACCAATTAAACCGTTTAGTTTTTCATTGTGTGCGTAGACAATTGTTGGAGTCTTATTATTTATAGATTGTTGGACTTGAGTAATCCACATGAATTCCTTATCACAGTCACTAACTTCAACTGCAATCGGTTCCAGTGAGGGTGCCTTCGTACCCATATATTGTAGCAACAGAATAACTTCGCTAGTATTGTCAACAGGCAATTGGGCAATCATTTTAAAATTATTGAGGATTTTCAAGTCGCTAATACTGAGCGAATTATTACTACGCACAAGCAAGTAACCTCTTTCCACCAAACATTTAGGAACTTGGGCAAGTGATAACTCATTCAACTCACCGCATAGCCCCCCTATTATTATGATGTGACAATTTTTTTGAGTAAATAATTTTTCATCTTCCACATTCACGAGTTTGGGGATATCTTCTAGTACTTGGTTTGATAGAAATATGTAATCACCAGTGACGACAGGCAGGTCTTCGATGGCCGCTACGAAGTTTTCAATTATTGGAAAGCGACCATCAGTGTCTACTTCAACTATTTTTATTTGTGAAATTGTACAGTTTTCCAAAACTAATTGCACGCAGATCCGAATTGCATTCTGAATGTTGAACGCAGGCGTGGGGAGGTGTGAAACAAACTGATACCTTTCTAAAACGGGTACTCCTGGCGATTTGCGGCGTTGAACGGGACTGGTGTGAAGACCAACTATTTCAACACCTCCCGAGACAATTCTGTTGTACTTACGATCCATATACACTGGAAACACGTGATTCCCCGATTCCATTGTAGTCAACAAATCCATATGATGGAAACCATAAATGCTTAATTTTCTTATTTTTGTTGGCAGCAGCAAGGTGCGCGAATCCGTACCTAAGATTTGAATTTGCAGCATTGCATCGATAAAGGTGACCCAATTGTAATTCCATTCTACTTTGCCATGAAGACCATCACTCCGAGCTTCTCTTACCGCCCTAAAATTACCGGTGTAATGATAACCGCGTAATCTCAACTCTTTATAAAAGTCTTTCTGGCAAAGGGTAGAGAAAATCGATTCCTCGGTGAATTCGTACACTTCCGGCGGAGAAGGCCGTTCAACTTCCTTTATCCATCCAGCAACTACCAAAGCCCCGGATTCTGTTATCTATTGAATAAAGGTATTATTTATTGTGTATTAAATGAAATTCCAGCCGATTGATAAAACAATATCATAATAAGTAACCTACCTCGAAATAGCCCGTGCCATATTGAATCATTATATTTAACTCTATACTATTGCTTGGTGTTATGGTAGTAGCTCTTAAAAATTTGACTTCTTCGAACTCAACTGGCACGTCCATATAACTTGGACCATGATACATGAGTGAGAAAGTTTCCCACACGTAGCGTAGGTAACATATGGCCGGTATGAGAACTTTACCATCAATAACATGGCCGGCCAAAAAGTCCCCATCATCACCATCCAAACTCACGGTGTAGGAACGCTCACCTTTGGATTTGGTTTTCGTGTTTTCATACTTCATAACGAACCAATCTTCGCTATGGTCCCATCGTATTAAGGAACTAATGCCAGCAGTGCCTCGTGAAACCGGAAATTCGATTTTGGGATATAGATTCTCGATAGGAAAGTTCAAACCGTTCGTAAATAGTCTAAAAAATTTAACTGTGAAGAACTGAAATGATCCCGTAAACAAATCAACCTACTTTCCAAGCGCTGAAAGAAGAAAAACGTCGTTGTTATTATTTCCGCGTTGCGTTAAAGGAATATGAACTCCATTTGGCATTGATCGCTTCAATATAGCTTGTAGTAAACCGTGAGGAGCGATTTCGATAGTCAGAGCATTGTTCGGAAGAAGCGCAAACGATTCCTCAAAGAGTACGCTGTTCAGCAAATTATTGGTATGATATTCCGCTGAGCACAAATTACGCCCATCTTGGTGCCAGTCACTTTCCGGTACGCTAGAGCTAATCCACTTGGATGATCGAGGTTTCGGATTAGGAATAATCTTTCTTAAATATTTCAATAGATATGGCTTCATGTGTGCGATATAACGTGAATGGTAGGCAATATTGGAACATGCGACTTCTTTAGCGAATATACCCCTGGATTTAAGTTCATTTACAAACTTTTCGACGTCTTCACTAGGCCCGGATATAGTACATGAATCGGCGCTATTGTGGCATGCAACCTCAATTTTATCAGGTAACATATTAACAATTTTCTTATAACCTATACCAATAGCAGCCATCGAACCTTTAATTTTTTCTATTTCTAGACTTATTTTGCCGCGATAATACGAGGCCAAAATCATTTGTTCTGCTGTAAATCCATCGTCAGCATAACCGCATGCCATTTCGCCTGCTGAATGACCTATGATATAGTCAGGCTCCATATTCAAAGATCGCAAAACGTCCACAAGGGCAATTTGTACGGCAGCAATACCCACGAAACAATGCAAAATATTGTCAAAAATTGTTGCTTCTGATGAAGTGAGAATTTTTATCAAATTGAGTCCTTTTGATGCCAATGCCTTATGACAGCGTTCAATAGATTTTCGAAACTGAGGTATAACCATTAAGGATGATCCCATTTCTGTCCATTGAGATCCCATCCCACTGAATACCCATACAATTGGTCTTTTAATTCCAGAGTAATGATGAACATCTCTAACAAGGGATTTGGCGGATGTATTTCCATTTTTAGCGAAAACTCCATAGCCTCGAAACACCAATCCTGTCACATCTTCGCCTTGTATGTTGTGTAGTAGACCAATAAATTCCGCGTCCAGAGGCTTGTCTTCAATTGAATCTAAAATTACATTAACTGATTCTTCAGTCCGTCCAGCCCAAGTAATTAAACGGGGAATGTCGTCATCGGGCACTCCATGGTTTAATTTGGTTTTATCAAAAGCCTTTAACAACGCATGAGCATTGGCGCCTCCGAAGCCAAATGAGCTGACGCCAATATACGGTTTTTCTAAATTCATTACATCCTTGACAACTATTAGGCGTCCTTCGTCTAAAGCAGAAATTTCTGATTTTAGCTCCTTCAAGTTAATATTAGGTGCAATTTTTCCTGTTTCAAAAGCAAAGCAAACTTTAACCAGTGAACATATACCCGAAGCCGGTTCAGCATGGCCTGCATTTGACTTAACAGAACCTACCAACAACGGTGTGGAGCGTTGACTACAAAGGACGTTGTCAATGGCTTTGCATTCTTCTGGATCACCGACTATCGTGCCAGTACTGTGAGCCTCCAAGTAACCTAAATCATCTGCACGCACATCAATTTCATCATAAAATTCCCTCAGCAATTTCTCCTGCAATTCTCCGGAAGGATAAGTAATTCCCTCGGATTTGTAGCCATCACAATTGGTTTTCGAGTAAACTACACTGGCATACACGCGTTTAGCATCACGTTTTCGTTGCAAGAATAAGCAGTTAATAGCTTCAGATCGAGTAAAACCTGATGCAGTCTTATCAAAAGGTTTTCCATAACCATCACTAGCCAGTACGCCAAGTCTGCAACAGGTAGTTGGAAATGGTAATTCTGAATATGCTTTCTACAATTATGAAGATTTACCGAACAAATTGCAAAGTGACAATAGGATGTAAGCATAAGTTTGCGCCCGCAATAATCGCTGCGTCTATTTCACCGACACGAAACGCGGTGAAAGCATTGTCTAAAGCGTACATTGAACTAGAGCAAGCTGTATCTAATAAATATGAGGGCCCTTGTAAACCCAAACTGTATGAAATACGGTTTGCCAACAGAGCACGGCTACAGCCAGTCATACTCAAACCGCCGGGTGAGACTTTATCGTACATCCAAGTTTTCTCCGATTCAGAGATTGAAGACCCTACATAAACTCCCGTTTTAGTCCCACGTAAGCTCTTTGGATTTATGCCGGCGTCCATAATTGCTTCATAAGCAGTCTCAACTAATATTCGTGCTTGAGGATCCATTGTATGACTTTGCTTAAAATGTACTCCAAAGAAAGTCGCATCGAATTTTTCCAAATCATAAATTTTTCCGCATCGTTTCGGGATCTCAGGATGAAAATGATGCCAGCGACGTTCTGCATCATCTACCATGTCCACCTTCAAAGAGATTTTAGAGACATGAGAAATGAGTAGTAAAAATTTTATTTTGGAATACATTCCAGTCTTTTAGCTATTGGGGCCGTATTTAGCTTATCTTCAATTCGCATTTACTTAATAGGAAATGGGCCTCAGCTTCGGGAATTCCTAAGATATAGACGAGTCAAGGATCGATGTCAAACCGATTAAGGATCTGACACTGGCGCAATGTATGTATGTTTAGCTTGTGTTTGTAAACAAGAATCGAAGATAATAAATGTTTAAAATACGCCCTTCCCACGGAAGTGTTCAAAGTCAATAACTCAATTTTATAAGGCGCGCATCCCAGAATGCAGGTTAAAAAGTCTTCAACGCTGAAAATCATTGTCTTCTTCAATTTTCATTTGATTGGATTGAAGTTCGAACAGCGACTTCAAAAGAAGGTTGTCTAATGATCATTGTACTCTCTTTTTCGGATGAACTTAAGTTTGTCGATTCTATTGGTCAAGAAAAGGAAATTTAAATCGGTGTTTTTTTGATAAGCTTCTAGTTGACTGGCTTTTTCGACAGGTAAAATGACTAACAGAAATAACCAGGAAAACCTAGCGCGTTAGAGAATTAATAACAGACAACAAAATGGAATGGGTGTTTATGACTTTCAAACACCTTGTGAGCGGGAAAACGGATAACCTTGGTCGAAATATGATAATGGCACCTAGGAGCTAAAAATAATATCGATATATTGATGTAAATGGTGCCGTCGGGTTTGGTGTAGACATTACATGATCACTCCGCGCACGGAATCTATAATGCGGAAAACAAGGACTTTGGAAAGACGACGTTCGTAAATAAGCCCCTTTTTAATAATTTTTTCTGTAAAAACAAACTACGGCATTCTTGCGCGCAAAATACTGTTAGTTGTATTGTCTTTCGCCACTACAGCTCATAAGACGCAAGGCAGTACTGTAGAACAGGCGTAGTGCGTCTAGAATCTAAGATATTGACAGCTGGCCAAACGTATTGCGCATTCAGTCTAGTGCAATCATTGCGACGCTTTGAAATAGAAGTCATGACGTACTTATAAAAAGCGAAAGAATGAGGCTTTAGAATATAGATAATTGGTTTTTTTTTTTCAAATGTATTTTTACAAAATTCTTTGTTGTTTGTTTGAGGGGCAAAATTGCCACTTGCAGCGAATGGGGGAAGATCAAGGGAAAAATGGCATCTTTGATGACTTAATTTCCTTCCCAAGGAAACTGAAAACAATGTTTTCTTGAAGATCTGAAGATCTATACTTTGACATATATAGAAACCTGCAGGTCTTTAGTGCACGCGAGAGAGATAGTATTACCCCTTAACGAAATAAGTAAATACATACGATATTCGTGTTATTGGTTGATACGAATTCTGTAAGATCTATCTAATGCCCTAAACTGGATATACTTTATACTGCGTGGAAATGTTTTCCTTGGAAAAATTCAATCTCCTTGTAAGACATTTCGAAACCCAATTGGAAAAGGTGACTAGTAGTTTATGTGGACACACGCACTCAACTCAATCGGAAACTTATGAGAAATTTATATACACGCACGTACCTTGTTGTAAAGTTTGTATTCAAATTCAGCAATGTTGTGACAGTTGGGAAATTTTCCAGACATTCCCGAAATGACAATGTCGTCGCCATCCGTTTCTGGATTTATACGTAAAAGTTTTCCATTTTTATTTAGAGAATTCGCGTTGCCTTTCATCTCAGGCATGTTTGCAGTTTTTTTTCTTCTTTTTTTTTTTATATGTTAAATATATTATTCGAAAAAATAGAAAAGAATCCGAACACACTTTGGGATATTGAAAAACTTAAAGCTGTCGAAATGCTTGCTCGATCAATTGCAATTGAAGTCAATAGGAATTGCGAGCCTTTTTATATATTATTGGGACAGAATTAATTAAAATTATTTAAAATTTAATGACTTTCACCTATAAAAGCAATGTGTTACTAGGAATCGTACGATAATTATTGAAATCGCATTAGTTTAACCAAAGGGCATTAATTATACATAAGATGTATTTTTAATGTAATTATGCATATGTGACTAATATTCAAAACTAACAAAAAAGAGGAACTTAAAAACAAGTAAGAGCACTATAGTCGGGCAATAAAATACACTACACAACATTGTACAGCATTATTCTTATTTTTACTATAGAACACAAAAATTATATCGCTTTTCTATATAAAGGCATAATTTTCATGTGCGTATTTATGAGGAAGCGGGTGCAAAACGCAACCTAATGCAGTACAAGTCTAATCCTGACATAGGGGAGGTTCCAAAAATAGCCGTAGATGATCCAACTTTTGCACAGTTCGTTTTTATATGAAATTACTATAATATTATCTACGAACCAATTTCCATCACCACATATTAAAACTTCGACTTTTCTGTTCCGCAAAGTATGAATTTTCGTGAGAATCTTAATTAAGGTAGAATCGAAAAAATAGGCCGAGATTGATACAGTTTGTTATAGTTAATTTTTTATGCTAAATTGAAATTATGAAATATGAGATTTTCATCGTGAAGCATTGAAAATTATATCTTTTTGCCGCATGAACTTCACTTTTCACTATATAAGAGGGGGTTCTAAAATTGCCTAGCCGGTTCATAGTTTTCATACCAGTTTGCCGAAATATCTCACAAGTTTAAAAACAAATTTACATGAACAGAGATTGGACGGACAGACGGACGTACAAGCTTAGATCAATTCAGATTATGATTATGAATCGATCGGTATAATAAATGGGTCTATCGCGTTACATACGAGTGTTACTAGCTTAATAAACCCTGTACCACAAGTGGTGTACGTACGGTATAACGAATGAGAAGAAGGTGTCATTTAAACGAAAAACTGAAAAATTCGGAAAATTTCTGACACCGAACTATCAATTATCAATTTATTGAAATATTGAAATTCGCTGAGCTTCAAGGTGTTTTTTCTTCCAAGCGTAAAGTATAAGTGATGTGACCGCAGCTTCATACAAATTTTTCTTCTTCTCTTTTTTTCTCGATATCTACAACGATTGTACTGTTTGCGTTGTTCTCATTTGGGCCAAAGCGCCGATCTGCATGAATATCTCAGTCGATTTAACTAACTATCTCTTCGACTTACCATTGGTCGAAGACGAGAATCGAAATTCTTACTTCCATTAATTATATAGGTAGGTAGGTTACTCAAGCTATCAAGCATGATCTGACTCCGATTCGGCATAAAAGCGTTATTAGTGTTTTCATTTTTTGTTTTGATTAAACCTTTGGCCGTAATAAGTTCACGTTTAACAATAATAAATGAATTGTCGAATCGAGTTTCAATTTAAAATTTGTAAATGAAAAAATTAAAATACAGTTGCAATTACACGTAACGATGAGTAGTAAATGAGCAAAATGGATTATTGAATTGAATTATTTCGTACCTAACGAACGAACTCTATATAGATTAACAAGTGTGATACCATTCCAATACCTTAGAGAGCATGTATAGTACAAAAGTATACTGTTTAGGGAATTGCATGATTTATGACGATAGACATTTATAGATATTTATGCGAATGTTTAGTGAACTACTCTGGTTTATTTTGTGAGGATGACTGGCTTGCAGACAGAAGAGATCGACGAAATCAATCAGGAGTTCTTAAAATATCAAAAAATTCCCATTCCAGCTATAAATGGATAACACAACTGTAAAATTTTTAAAGAAAAAAAACCATTTTTTTTGCCTTAATAGATACTATGACTTTTCTAAAATAGATGGAAATTGTCATTACTTGAAACACGTTTCTCCATTGAAATTTCAGCCTTTTCCCCAAGCACTCTAGAGAAGATTCCCTGCGTCATTTAAATTCCTGTTGGGGAATTGCAATCTAATACCTTCACTGGTCATTTCTAACTACTCTAATACACTGATAATAATTTAGAGGTATTTCCAAGCAAAAATATGTTAGTACAACTTCTTTGAGAAGGAATGACGAGAACTTTCTCTTCTTCTGCCAGTTAATTAAAAATTTCACAACAAGTTTTTTAAGCTCTTTCCTCTACTTCGCAGCAGTTACGATACTACCTTTAACAGATGCAACAAGTGAAGCATTTTATATGTGAGGAAGAGTTGCGTTTTTCTGAGCCTGGGGTCACAGCCTTAAGGAAAAAAGTAATAAAAAAGTTTATGGTAACGCTTCAGAACTTCAAACATGCTTTTTTCGAAAAGTAGACCAACTGAAGATCGCCTACAATTTTCATGTTTTTATTTCCAATTTGCAACCATATCTCTAAGATAATATTTTATAGCGCTGTACACGGCAGGTAAGTAAATTTGAGCATTTTTTTTGTTCATGAAAGTTTCTTTTTTTTGCTCAAACACTGAAATTTTCCATTCGATCGCGCAAGGGTCAACATTGTTAAAATAATCCACATATAGCACTAACTATATGCAGGTGGATTAATTAATTTATTTTTATTTTTTTTTTAGAATCAAACTTTCATCAATTAGTTTACAATCTGCAGCATTCCTCATTACAGATACAGATACACTAAGCTTGCGCAGATCTATATAACACGCCGAGGGACTTACGATTGGTCCAGCCTCTACTACTCGGACTTCAGGTCGTCCATCTATTCATCCCACTAATGTCAGCCTATTTGGTTCTTTGTTGAACTCTTAGATGGAAATTTTTAAAACAAAACTTTGTCAGCTGGCGTATTTTAGTTCAAGGACGAACCCTACTGAAAATGACTTGTATTTTTACGGCCGCTTGTCATATAATGCCTTAGGTTGAAGCATTCACTCATCATATAAAAACAATATTGGAGTTTTCAATATTTTTCTCGAAAAAAAAACACTAAGTATTGGAATTTCGACATACGGAGATTCCCAATCCAATGAAAACCAGGCGCGCACATAGCAAAACTATCTAAATTTTAATACGTTAATGCAATAGTAAAAAGCAAAAGAAGTTAATTTGATATAAACGAAGCAATTTGCAAACGCATGGGTCTATTTTTTTGGAGTTTATCTTTATATGGCAATAGTGTTCAAAGATTTAGCACAAAAGTACGGAAAATGCTTAGCCTTTAACAGAATAATTAAACTTACTACAAAAAATGAAGGTTCGTATAACGCGACGTGGTGTAGGGTATTTATAATATTTTCACTTGTTTTTTTAATACTTAAACATACGCACAATAACCTCCTTAAATTAACTTTCCTTGGGTATCGAAAGAATTGTCGAAACAAAGCTTTTTTTTAGGCAGTTACAGTGGCGTTATGCCGTAAACGATATTCAATAGCTTGAATTATTTAAAAAAGCAAATAAAAAAAAAAAAAATGAAAAAAGGTTTTATTCGGCGGGGGCCGAATCTCGCATACCCATCACTATGCTTGTGGTATTCTACTCTCCAAGTTCTTTTATTTGATACCCATATTGCTGGTGTTATTAAGAAAAATATTCATTTCAAGATTAACCCATTTATCTTCATTTGAGGAGTGTACAAAATAGTTTTAAACATTTCGTCCCAGTTGCCTCATGATAAACAAGAATTAACCCTCAAAAAAGTGAAAAAAAATTTAAATTCAATAACTCGTAACATTGTGTGGACAGAACCGACTGGTTCCATTTATGGACCTAGAGAGCAAAGTGTGTCGTAAAGCAAATGTGGAAAGTTTCAGGCATCTAAGTTTAATAATTTTCAAATAACGAGCAAACATCAAAAAATTTTCGTTAAAAAAAAAGAGGTGCGTTCAGTTTATGCATTGCATTTGTTGTATCAAGAATTCCACAAACATATTTTTTTAATTTTATGGAGGAATACCGTGATCGGAAGAGCCACACATGTCCTAAAGAAAGTAACCAAATTTTTGACGTTAAAAATGCACCGCGCTTCAAAAAGAAGCTCGATGTTTGGGTGCCACACCAATTAACAGAAAAAAACATGATGGTTTGAATTTCCATTTATGCTCCATGGCGCGCTTCTGCTCTGACCAATTTGGCCCGTTTTCAATATCATGCTGCGTGCAGAAGCTTCCAATGTTTCTACCAAATTTGAAGTTGATATCTCCTTTTTTGCGACCAGCAAAGTGTGAAAAACACACACAACACAGACGGACAGACATGGCTAAATCAACTCAGGAGTTTGCGCTGATCAACAATATATATAAACTTTATAGGGTCTCTGAAGCTTCCTTGCAACAAAATGGGTATACCGCCATGTTACAGTGGTGGGTACAAACAAGACATCTTACAATAATAACATTAAACGTAAGGCCTTAGAAATAAAACAAGTAAGAAAATTATTTTTGCGGTTCGGGTTCTGCACCCGCCATCTTCGTATTCAAAGAGAATAAGCAAATATTTTTTTTGTTTTAGCTTATGATCAAGGAGCGAAATACCCGAAACAGAGGTATTTTCACTTTTCGCTGATTTTTCCCATTTTTAGTAGGAGCATGTGTTTGGCAATTCCATAACGCTTTTGTCGAAGTTTAAGTTGACATCTTTCCCTTTGCGACCACAAGCAAATAAGCAGTTGTCTTCCTCTTCTTTATTGGTGTGTTTGTGAAGGTATCGCACCCATTTTTTAATCTTATGTTCTTAATCGAACAAGGAAAGTTTGTGCCATGTTTTAGCTTCCAGTTTCGTGATTGTGGGGATTCACAAAATTTACTCGTGAAATAGTTGCACACAAAACGTCCGTAAATCCAGACTTATAGTGATTTTACCAGCAAATAGTTTTAAATCGACCCATGGCAAAACCTCGGCAAAGTGCTTATGACACTGAACTATTTATACAAATAACAGCTGAAATAACTGGCAGCGGCACTGATATTACAGCAGGTACCGTGAATGCAACTGTATCCATGACGGGAACGACCATCAACAACGTTGAAGCAAATCATGATATTTTTTCCATAATATCAAATTGTGTAGTCATGATAGGGAATGACGTAATGACATTCTTAGGTAGAGGGGATGAGGATATGATGAGACTATAACCGCGTCACCGCTCAAAACACAACTAGTTAGGTTACATAGAGGCAAATAGGGCAGCATGAATAGTTTTCTTGAAGAGTTAGTTCACTCGGAGACAGAGACAGACAGCGTGCACTAAATAAAATAAATTTCCGAAAGTTTCTGCCGAGAAACAATCACGATTCTCATAAAATCAACCATCGGAGCAGTTACGCAAGTCTTCAATATATATGCCGTTCTGCCGTAAAAAATTTCTTGACTTAATTTAGATCTCTGAAGATAGGCGCTTTATTTGTCTCCAAAATTTACACTTAATTGCTTCGTAAAGAGCAGGGGTCAGCAACCTTTTCGGCCACGGGTTAAAATCAACCAAAATGTGTGTATTTAAGCGACGTTTCTTTCAGAGATATTTTCCTATTAAAACAGTCTTTTAGTAAATAATAATGATGTTGGACTTTTGACGTCAATTTAGTCTAGTTAGTCGTTTTAAGATGCATCGGTTTTTCGGTTTTTATGTTTCATAATTTCTTTTTATATATTATACCTTATTTTCGGAGGTAAAGTGGGTCACTTGAAATTATCAAACGAGTCATTCGCTGACCCGCGGGTCACAAGTCGCCGACACCTACTACAGAGCAAAGGACAACGGAGCTCAGTCGTCTAAAGTTGCTGTAAAGACATCACTAAGAAAGTACGAGTCTGCCTTACCGACTTCATATATAAAATGGTCGTTTTTGAACAGCTGCTTAACAAGTTATGAACTCTGTTCTGTTCGAGCGATCCAGTCTAGTCTAGTGGCATTGCCCAACGAGCACGAGTGAACATGTTTTGCTTCTTTTTATTTATAGTTACATCCAAACTGCGTATGTATTTTTGCCCAACGTTGGCCTGGTTTCATAATAAATAAAAAAAAAAAAACTGTTCAAATGCGAGTAAAAATTCCAATTCTTTTCTAATGGGATCCGTTATTCACGCTCCTTGAGATCAAATAAAAAGCGGATTTTTCCTCATTAATCACAAGCTACAGTTGATGAATCTACGGTCGATTCTGTAGTGTCTGTACGAAAGTGATTATAGTTACCCACGCCCACCCAAACCTACCAACATTGAAATTTAACTCGTTCGTCATGCTAGACATGCCGCAAAATGTCTGCGTTCTTGGTCAGTATCTAATCGTAGGTCCATCTAGGCGTGCCTGTAGATTTATGTTGTAAACACTCTCTTGGTCGCGAAGGTTTAGATATCGGCTTCAAATTTGGCAAAGACATTGGAAATTTGGACACGCTCCTTTTGGAATGCAAAACAATTAAGAAATTTTTGCCCATTATTCATTATTCATAGTCTGCCTCTTTTCTACGGGTGATCCTACAGTATTTGAACAAAAAGGAAAAGAATCGACCAGGCCCATCTGACAGTATAAAGTTTCGAATCCATACCATACCCATCACCGAAGGATGAGGGATATATTCATTTTGTCAAAATATTTGCAAAGCCCAGAAGCAATCATCAGAGATCCCACAAAATACATACATTCTTGATCCGTATAAAATTCTGAATCGATGTAAGCATGTCCGTCTGTCCTTCTGTCTGTGCAAAGTCTATCGATTTCAAATTTAATACGAAAATTGGAAGTTATTGCAGACAGGCAGACAGGAGTGAACAATGGTCCACTTCATTCGAAGGGCACGCCTATAGTACTACGTAAAGTGAGCACATCTCCGTTTTTCAAAAGGAATAAAACAAATTGGTTTTTTGCTTATTACTCATAAGCTACAGCAGATACATTTGTAAAAATTTGAACAGACATTCTATGGACGATGCTATAGTACCTCTACGAAACTGAAAAAAGGCGTAATCGTCCTGCTTAATTTTATAGTCAGTCGGGGAATTTCTTTTTATTTTTCAAAATCTCTATAACGCATAGAAGCAAGCTTCCAAAATCTCGTAAAGTATATAAATTCTTGGCCACTTTCAAGCTCGGAACGTACCTAAGCATATCTCTCCGTCCGTCTATCTATCTCCCCATCTGTGCAGTATGTGTGGTAAACGTTCCCCTCTTCGAATGTAAGAATTGAAACTTTTCTATGGACACGCCTTCAACGCCCACACGTCCATATGACAAGAATTGTGAATAACATTTCTGTACGTCACCATAGAGTAAGAAAATGGAGTTCTTTTCCTTTTTCTAGGATCACGGTGATGGGTATATTCTTGTTTTTTTTTTAAAGCTGATGGGAATAAAATATTCGATCCCAGCGAGATTTTTTTTTCACCTTTCTGACTTATTGCAATTGGAACGCATTTTTATATATTAAAAACGCATATCATATAAATTAATTAACTTTGTTTTGTTATACTAATGCGAATTCAGTGTAATGTGTTTATTGGTACAAACACATTGCTATCACGGGGTGAACGCACTTAAATTTCAAATTTTTCATAGTCTATGTCACCTGCGGTACAAGGTATATTAAATTAACTCGGACTTGACTTAAACGACTTGAGATAGATCCAACTTTTATTATACCGAACAGAAAGTGATTCTGATTCGATTTAGGCTTGTGTGTCCGTCTGTCTTTCCCTCTATTCAACCTACAAGTCGTACTTTCTGAGATATTGGGATGAAATTTAACATCCCTTTTTCGACCACTCCTCTTATAAAGTGTTATTTTGAAAAATTGTTGTATGAATAACTGTATCAAACGAAGTGATTTAAAGTATTTAACGGTTGGCCGCCTGCCACTACAATATCTTCATTTGTTTCCTTTACCTAATTTATACCATTCGGTTGAAATAGACCTTTTGTTGTCTTTCATATAAATTCGTAAGTTAACTTATTCGCACTTTGGTCCCAAACAACTAAGTTCTGATTACAACATATGTAAAATTAGACTACAAATGCATTTTATATGCATTAATTAACGATACTGTGTGTCCCCTCGAAGATATGGTGCAATAAAAAATGTGCCATATTTTTTAAACGTAAACATAGTGAGCTGCTTTTCACCCCAATTCACGATATGTAAATGTAAGATATAAACGATAGCATTGATAATATCATTATTAACGTTTTAATTTTTTTAGACTGACTAACGAAACAAATCCTTAGACTAAAAAAAAAAACTGAGCACCAGCGACATTAGCTATATAGAAAAGAAAATTAGATATTGACCCTATAGGGGTAGCATAGAACTAACTGTTCCGAATGCGGTCCTGTTTGATTTGGTTGCCTCTAATACAGATTGGGGAAGAAGGTGCCTCAAGGATCATTGGTGAGTGCCAATTATATGATTAACAGATTTTTTGACCTTGATTTTGCCAATGTTTGCTGCATATAATGGTGGAACTGAGTAAGTGTTAACAGAGGAGTAGCGCTGTTAGTAGTATTGTACATATGCTTCTATAATTTTTTCCTTCGGATGTGTCTTTGAAGATCCAGCAGACTTCGCCGGTCGATCGGCTTACTCATTTCTGATTCTGATATTATCACCATAAGTCGTGATTGTATTCCTTAATTTGTTGACGGTGCTCCAGCTGGACGTGGACGGATTCCGGTTAGCTTTTAACACGGACAAGCTGTCAGTGAGAATAGCCGTTTTGAACAAGATTCATACATAGCTTGAAAGACAGCCCTGGCTTCAGTAGCGTATGCAGGGTTTATCCCGAAGAGTCCGCTACGGCGTAGGCAGGTGGTCTACCGCGAGATTTAGAGCCGTCTGTATAAAGGAGATGCCAGCAGGGATGAGCTTGTCATTTCTGGAGTCGCTATTCAGCAATGTAATAAGAATAATAGATTGATATGTCTGATAACGTCTCTACTTTGAAAGATCTAGATGTTGTTTCGTCGATTCTAGACTAAGGCTTAACCGCCCTATTGAAATAATTGGTCACAAAGTCAAGTCGCTTTTCAGCTTTAGGAATAGGTACTGTAGAGTAAAGCTTGGTCTGATAAGCCTTATATCATTATATACGGCTCTAGTTGGCCAATGTCAGAGCACACGTGGCTGTTAGTTAGAGTTAGTTAATTGTTATTTACATTTACATAATAAATCTTTTAGTGTTCGGGGCGGTTAAGGAAGCCTGCTTTCTTACAAAAGGGACTTTTAAATTCCTTTTTAATAGAATTGTTACTTTTGGCTGTGTTCAGAAGAAAATGCGTGTCCATAAACTGGACCGGCCCGAACTCGACTGAGTTGAACAGCGCAATAGATAAAATTCGCGATTATAAATTTTTCTTAATTTCCTTTATTTTACAAGTTAGCTTAGAATTAAACCAAAATCCTCGCTAAATTCCCTGTTGAAAGGCAAGGCACAGAGTCGCTTATAATAAATAAAAAAATTGCCAAAAATGGTTGAGTGCCTAACTAACATATTCTGTTAAAATCCATTGCAAAATTCGATTTGCCGTCGGCATTTGTTTCTCATAATCTGTTAAAAGAAGTTTCTCATAATCTGTTAAATGCGATTGTACTTAAATGTACTTGAAAAGAGATGCAACCGCATTTATAGATAATAAACAGTATAGATACAAACTCGTATTTGCACGCCATCTATGTGTAGTTCAAATTAATTAATTGTGCCATCTGTTTTCTTGAAAAGAAAAACACCTTCATTATCGATAATACAGTTATAAACCGTTTCATTTTCATTTTTAACATAGTTGTGGAGGCGTTGGTAGAGGTATTGGATTGTTTATGAGTGTTTATGAACGTTTACGATGGTTTATATAGGTTTTGATGTTTAACTCTGCTCAATTTTGTACTTTTGTATTGGACTGCATTGCATACTTTAACATCTCTGCTTTTGCGCTTTAATCTGAGTGAGAATAACAAGCAAAAACCTTGCACATATTATTCATACAAATTTGAAAATAAATATATATATTTTCAATTATACATTATTATTTATAATAAATACCTGAAAGCGTCGCTTAACAAAACTAGTCGTTCAAACAAAGTTCTCGGAATGTCCAATATATAAAATAAAGCAGATATTTCTATGTTAAAATTGTAACGGCAATTAACAGATGGTGTAACGAACACATTTGCAGATGTTTCTATGCTTCATGCGGATTAATAATGAATCGTCGCTTTCCCACTGCATATATGCTCTCGATAATTTGTAAAAATGCTCACATTTGCGTGCGAAATCTTTCAATTTTTCTGCTAAATTTAAAGTCGAACTTCATTTTTGAGGTCAGGAGAATGTTTGCAACAGACGTCACATAGAGGGACGGACGAACAGAAGGACATGCCCACAAACACTTCTAATCCCCTTAAATAGGCCCCTCAGACTGGGCTGATGCATGTTGTTAGCTGGTTTTATTTTACTTAGTTCGGGGTTATCTGCGTATAGGCCATCTTAGTCGGTTTTTTCATTTCATTGCTTTTTCACTTCTCAATGTACAATGCAAGTCCTGAATATTTAGTGAAGGATCAATAAACTTAGCTCGTCGCGTTCTCTTCTCTTGGACGGTTTGTTTGACACCAAAGTGAAAGGAATTTTCTAGGAAAAGGCATGCCGGTATTTTGTGATACCTACCATGAAAGATAAGGTAAAAAAAAGGACAGATAATTATCATGAAGCAGCGAAAGCCCCAATTAAGTAAAAATTCAGCAAACAGCGTTGAGCCAAAGATAATAAAAATAAAAGGATGCAAGCTTCGTCAAAACTTTTGATTAAAAGCAAAAATGTTTATATCGATTTAGGCAGAAAATGCAAATGATTTCTACTCGTGCACAGGATTGCCGAAGGGAAATATTTCATCTATTGCCGATACCAAATACGATATCTATAATGCTTATATTGCTTTGAAAAAACGAGCAAATAAATCTTCGGTCTATCTAGGACTGTAAAATACGTCTAAACGTTTAAGATATTCTCTCATTGCGAAATAAATTGAAAATATCTTGAGATATCGTGTAATATGAGTGCTTTCAGCGATGAGCAAGCTGATATAACTCGAAAATTTCTATTTTCCCAATTAATGATTGAACACGATGTCGCGAAAATAGTTGACCTAAAAAAAGCGTATTAAAAATAATATTAAAGAGAAGACGAGATTAACGAAATTTGTGGACAATACTACCCTCCGCACTGGCCCTACATCAAATCAGATCTTGGTCCTTCACCTACCTACCTGTAAACCTGTGTAAACTCTCTATCAGGTGCAAAAGTGAAATAGTAGTTTAGGCAAAAATTTTTAATCTAGAAAGGTTAAAATGTTCCTTTGAAACTTTTCATGACGTATCATTAAAAGCAGACACTTATGTAAAAAACAGCACTCTTGCTTTATTTTAATTGCGGTGCATTTCAGCAGTTTTTCTCCATCATATTTAATTTATAAATTAAGGAATATAATTACAACACCCGACGGTAAAATTAAAACGTTATGGTTGCCAAGTCACATCCTTCCTCTGCTCCTCTAATTATGGATGATGTCATGGAAAATTTGGATCTTCAAAGATACATTGGAAGAAAAGTTGAAGAGAAAATTGCAGAAGGAAATTTGCAATACCGTCGTCAACACTACTCTTCCATTAACCCTCAATTAACTCTCTTAACACTCTTATATGCAACAAATGTTGAGAAAACCAAGATCCAAACATTTTCGAGAATTCGCCTTGGTCATACAATTGCAACTCACCAACGGATATTGAAGAAGTCTTCCTCCCCAATCTCACTATAAAGCACATTCTCTGCGACTGCCTTAACTTTCCCTTGGCTAGAAGCCTTGCATTTGGAACAATTAACCCTTTGGACATTCTAGAATCAGCTTCAGAACAGAATATCAATACTCTATTAATACTACTAAGCTCGTTATCTAGTGTACATATATTTAAATTTGAGCCGATAGCCTGCTGATATTCCTAGTGCTCAATGATTTTTTTTTGCAGTCTAAGAATTTATTTCATTAGTCTAAAATTATGATAATAATAATAATAATATAAATTTTATGAAATTATAAGTTATTTACATAACACATACATATAAACAATTATAAATTAAATTTATCTTCTATATAATGAAAAATTTATTTATTTTTTTTTATTTTTTTTTTTTTCTTTAGAGATGGATTGGACCAGTTAAGTTAACGTTAGATCCATAATCCAGAAACGAAGTTGAGAGCGATTGATGAAAAAATCCAAGCATAGGTAGACTGATGTGGCAGCGTGTTCGCAATGAGAGGTTCTGTTCCGCTGTCAATCCATAAATCACCGTACTTGGTACTGTACTGTCAAGATGCGGCTAATAATGCCGATAAAAGAAAAAGTGTAGGCGATTCGTGATTGTAATAGAAATACTAAATGTAAAATTAGAATGAAAACTCAGCTGATTTGACAAAGGCAGTCAGTTGCTTCAAATGCCTAAAGTTACCAGCACGAAAAATTTCATATAAATTGTTATACAGGTTAAATATACTGAAAGATTGTCTAAGGATGTCAAACCTCCTGCACTCAAAAATAAGGTGCTCGGCAGACTCAGTAATATTGCAATCCTCACAGATGTCAGAGGAGGAGACTTTGATCATTTTAAAATAGACCTTGTCGTAGGTGTGATTACTCATAAGACGGTGAAGAATTTTAAATTCCCAGGTTGTGAATTTTCCTTTAGGTAGAAGCGCGGGTGTCAAAAAATCGTAAATTTTGTAGAACAGCCGGTCACTTTTTTCTCTAGCTAAAACATGATACTCATCTTTCCATTCTTTTATGATGAGTTTTTTGACTAGCAGAAAAGCTTCGCTGGGGGGGTAGTTTATGGACAAAACTGTACCATCGAACATAGCTTGACGAGCATGGAAGTCAGCTTTTTCACCGCAGTGACCTGGGATCCAGATGATGTGGCATTTTTCAATACTTGGGTCTTTTAAAAGGTTGTAGATATCGAAGACATACTTATTGAACGGGTCTTTGTTCTTGATTAAAATTAGAGCAGATTTGCTGTCAGAGAAAACTACAAATTTTTTCAGCTTAATTTCAGATGCATGGATGATTGCTTGTCTGATGGCCAGAAGTTCAATGAAAGTGGATGATAGTTCTTGTAGAACTTTGATATGAAAAATTTATAAAATATATATCACCCACAGACATGGAAATAGATAAATATAAACGAAACTTCATTGCGTCATCCCCTGAAGGCGCACATATATTTAACCGGTTTGTTTTCCTTTGTTGAATGTTATGCGATTATACAATTTCCTCTGAAAGTGAAAGAACATTTTCGGTTCAAGTAATCCGGTTCAGTTCAACATTCTAAGACAAACTACACGCAGAAATTGACATCAATCTAGAGGTTCCAATTATGTCAAGGTAACCAGATTAATCGGCTCAGATTTTCTTACGCGTAAACAGACGCGATGATCCCAACAACAACTCTATCCTCCGCTTTTTAATAGTTGCTATTGTTAGACTGAAAAAATTATAATGAGAACAATTTTTTTAGTTTAGTTTCGTACGAACGATAAGGTAATTTATTCGGACAGAATGGATTATAGTAGTGCGACAAATTAAGTTCTGATTGTAACACATGTAAAATTAGATTACAAATGCATTTTCTATGCATTAATTAACGCTATTTTGTTGCCCCTTTACAGTGCCGCACGGTGGGCTAGAAAAAGTGTGCCTTCTTCTTTTTTAAACGTAAGCGTGTAAGCGCGAGTTGTTTCTTATCCCGACTGGAGAGATGTGCAGAAATGCAGGTTAGGAACGGGGCCCCCCTTTAAATAAGAATTGAATTATTTTTTTATATTTCGTAATAATATTTTGTATAATTATTGCTAAAAGTAGAGCAACTTTATTCAATAGAAAATAAATAAATTTTCTGTGTAAAGCAAGGGGCCTTTCATTTTCCAATGACTCTGCGCCTCAAAGAGTTAAACTAATACGAATTCATTAATTATCGTATGATTTGTGCTAGCAATTTACTATTACAAGTCAATTTAATTAATGCAGTTCCGATTATATATAAGGGGACTTGCCATCATTTCTGAATTTAGTTGCATTTGGTCAAGTATTTCGACCACTTTAAGCTTTCGTACAATTAACGCGCTATTCACATATATTTATATATATATATATATATATAAATAAAGAATCGTGCAAACATGCCTGGGTTCAAGAACAATGTCAATTCTATCACAAAAAATAAGTGTAAAAAATTTTCGTGCATACATCCAGATACAGATGGCGACGACGTTGTCATTGCGGGAATGGCTGGAAAATTTCCCAATTGCCATAATGTTGCTGAGTACGAATATAAGCTTTACAACAAGGTACCTGTGTCTATGTAACTCTTTTACGGAACTTCAAAAGATATTTTAAACATTCAGATTTCTTTATAAGTAATAGAACATAGGAATATTAGAGTTTACGTCAGACTTATTACGTGTTTTCACTGTTATTTAGGAAGATTTTCTCATGTCAATTATTATAGGGATAACGAAAGCGTTTACTAGCATACTGCTAATGAAATTCTGCTCAAACTGTCAAGATCAGTTTCTCTGATTTACTCTTTCATAACTTCACTCACATATTACATATTACATTTGATACGTCACATCTACAAATGTGATAAGATTCTTTTTTGTAAATTTTCTTAAAGATCGATATGATAGATGACGATGAGCGACGTTGGCCGCATTTTCATGCGGAGCTTCCTAAACGATTGGGAAAAATTTATGATATTGAAAAATTCGATGCGACTTTTTTTGGAGTACACTTTAAACAAAGTCATTCAATGGATCCTCAAATACGAATGCTGCTCGAAGTTGCTTACGAGGCTATTATTGACGCCGGTGTTAATCCAAAAAGCTTACGTGGTACTAAGACGGGAGTTTACATCGGTTGCATCCTGTCGGAATCGGAAAAGGCATGGATCTACGAAAAAGATACAAGCGACGGTTTTGGCTTAACTGGCTGTAATCGTGCTATGGCAGCAAACCGCATTTCATATAGTTTAGGTTTGGAAGGACCGTCATTTGCATTGGATACAGCTTGTTCTAGTTCATTGTACGCCTTAGATAACGCTTTTTCCGCATTTTGTAATGGTGAAATAGACGCAGCTATTATTGGGGCTTCAAATTTATGTTTGCACCCATATGTAACATTGCAATTTGCTCGGTAAGCATCAATAATAATTTAGTGCATACCCAGGATCATAATTTCTTGGTGCGTATTGCAGACTTGGCGTATTAGCACCTGATGGTTATTGTAGGCCTTTTGACAAAAATGCTTCTGGTTACACGCGTTCTGAAGCCATTAGCTGCTTGTTCTTGCAGCGTAAACGTGATGCTAAGCGCATCTATGCTAACGTAGTGTATTCTAAAACAAATTGTGATGGTCATAAGGCTGAAGGAATTACTTATCCTTCCGGAAAAATGCAAGAAAAACTGCTCCGGGAGTTTTATCAAGAAGTTGATGTGCTTCCAGCAAACTTAGGTTTTATGGAAGCTCACTGTACCGGTACAAAAGTTGGCGATCCGGAAGAGTGCCGCGCCATTGACAATGTCCTTTGTAGTCAGCGTTCTACACCCTTATTGATAGGTTCCGTCAAATCGAATGCAGGTCATTCTGAAGCGACAGCTGGCATCTGCTCGCTGGTTAAAGTTTGCCTTGCATTTGAAACAGGACAAATTGCACCTAATATTAATTTTGCGGAGATGAGATCAGAAATTCCTGCTTTAGCCGAAGGACGCTTGATAGTTGTAAAAGAGAAAATGAACTTGGAAAAACCGTATATTGGCGTCAATTCGTTTGGCTTCGGAGGTGCTAATGCTCATGCTTTATTAAAGGCTTTTGA